CGTGCGCGCGGGGCCCGGACAGGAAGTGGGAAGGGCGCGCGGCCTCCGCGTGCGTTCGGGACGGGCCGCGTGGACACCGGAAGCGGGCAGGGCTCGGCCCTGTCGACCCCCCACCAACCCCTGCCGCCTCAGTGCGCTGGGAACCCCTCCCCGGGCAGCGCCCGGGCCCAAAGTCGGGACGGGAAGAACACCGGAGGCGCCCGGGGGCCGAGGTGGAGGCGGAGGGAGCGGCGCGCCGGGACCGTCGCCCCGAGGAGATCGGGACGACGTCGAGGGGAAGGCCGGACCGCGAGAACGGCGGCGGGGACCGCGAACAAACACTACTCACCCGTCCATTGCACACACAGGGAACCCGCGGAGGACGGAGTGGAGGCGCCGGAATAGCAGGAACCGACCCAACGGCTCCGAGTTATAGACTCACAAAATGGCGGAGACGCCCGAACACGTCCCCCGCGCGCTCTGCCCATTGGCTCCCGCCGTGAAGGTGGGCGGGGCGAGAACCGCCGGACCTCGCCAGCGCCTCCCAATGGGTGGGAGGCCCCTCGAGGGGGTGGGATCAAGAAGAATGGCAGGCGGCCATTGGAGAATACGGCCGTCAGTCAGAGCTCAAGGTGGAAACGACCCGGGAAGTCTGGGGAGGAGAGACACGGTGAAACCACGTGACGATGCCCGAGCCAGTGGGCGAGTTACCCTCCTGCGTGGGAGAAACCATTTTGAGAGTGGGTACGTGGCGGGTCAGGCGGCGGGAAGCGTGTTTCCCCTAGGCTGCCGCCATCTTGCAAACGGGCAGTGTCCACCTTTACTCGGCCGTGAGGGCAAAGGGAGGTGCGCCGCCATCTTAGAGTTGGGCAGAAAACCTACAGGCCTCCATGTTGCTTGTGGGCATCTGGCAGAAGTCTGATTCGAATTCAGATGTTACGCCTAGGTTAGCACGCGGAAAAGTGTAGGCGGCTCAGGGGTACCGGGGCTGTTTCCCCTGCTGGGCACCAAGCCTGCAGCACGATGTGTCAGTGGCCGCTCCATACTGTTCTTCGTTCGCCCCAGCTTAGTGAAGCCTGAGTACGGTCCCTTCCCCTGACTGCAGGGATGGGGAAACTGAGGCCTGGGGCGCAGATGCCCGCACAGGGCCCGGCGCAAACTGAGCAGGTTGACGGGACGCCCAGCGTCGGGTCTGGTCTCTGTCGCAGCGGCAGAACTCCTCGAACATATCCTGGAGAACGCTGATTCCCAGAAGAGCTACAGGGCTGTGGGTGACAGGGGTGCCCTCGGCAGAGGGGCCGGGAATTCGGGGCAGGCTGGGTGGGGAGAGTCAGGCCAGAGCCTGGGAGGCCGAGAGGCCATGTGGACCCCCAGCGCTTTTGGAAGCACCCAAGAGATGACAGGCATCTCGGGCTGGCGCGGTTCCCAGCGTGGAGTAGACGTTCAGTAGAGGAAATGGGAGTGAACACTGTTCGCTGCACATCTCGGGCTGAAGGGGCTTTTTAATTGGCCCAGCCTGTGACATTTCCCGTGTCCCTAAATCGAGGTGAGGCCAGTGCGCCTGCCTCTCAGGTCGGTTTTAGCGGGAGCGGAGTCGTGGCAACCGCGCCGGTCCGGGCCCGCGGGCCTGGACGGAGCCCGGGAGCCTAGGAGTCTGCCGCTCCCGAGCCAGAGGGCTTTCTCGGATTAGGGGCGCTTCCCGCCCTGCGGCCCTTGGCCCTCGCTTTCGCCTGAGGCCGTCTGCAGCCCCAGAATGGCTAATCAGGAATGTCCCGGCGGATTTAGGAGAATCCCCTTCACATTCCTGTGGATTTGCTCCTTCCAGGACTCCCATCGGCCTTCTCTCTGGGTACCACCAGGGCCAGCTGCTCATCTCGGTTGCCTTGGTGACTAGTGCCAGGGATGGGCCCCTTGACAGCGGGGAGGACTGTTGGAGACCCCCAGAGGGAGAGGAAGGGGCAGCTGACCCTCCGTCTGGTTCCCAGAGTGGATGTAAACGGTTGGTCGGACGGTATCACAGCCCTGCCAGGGCTCCTATCTTGCTCAGTGTGAAACCTCGAGCTGACCTTGTGGCCCCACAGACCCCACGTCTCCAGCCATCTTGCTGGTTGCTGGCCTTAGGTACACAGGTCTCCTTTGCAAGGCTGCACCCTTCTGGAAGCTTCTTCCCTAAACCTGCAGGATTCCCTCTCTCATTCCCTAACCCGGGGCCTCTGCCCCAGGGTCCATTCCTCAGAACAGCCTCCCTGAAAGGGTTGAGGATTTCCTTCTTGCTCACAGAGCTCCTCACTATAAGCTGATCAGCTAGAAAGCGCTGGGACAGGAGGGGGGACACAGCCCCCACCCTCACCAGAATCCACATCGCAGGTGCCACAAGCCAGGTTTATTCTCGCTTACTTCTGGAGGCCAGAAGTCCGAAACTGAGGTGTCATCCAGGCCCTGTCCCTCCAGAGGCTCTGGGGGTGGGACCTTCCTGTGGCTTCCAGTCCTAGGCCCTGGTATCCTTGGCCTGTGGACCCGCCCCTCCAGTCCCTGCCTCTGTTCTCACATGGACTTAGAGGTCACAGGGATAATCTCGTCTCCAGGCCCTTACACCTGCAAACCCCCTTTTCCCAAAGGACATCACGCTTACAGGTTCGGGGGTCAGGAAGTGGACACATGGTTTCAAGAGCCGCCTGTCGAACCACGACCCCCCTGGGACCGGGACCAGCCTCACAGAGCTGCTGGCAGGCCCTCCACGATTGCGGGGGTGGGGGAGCAGCTCCTCTGTCTGCACCCTGCTCGCCCCAGCTTCACCAGCCAGCTGCCTCTCATCAATGATTGATGGAGAACAAGGGCGTGTGATCATCTTGCAATTGTTAAAGAATTTTGAAAAGGATACTTCTCTGTGGCAGGAGCAAGGTGGTTGAGGGGGGCCAAATGAGGGTGGAGGGCCAGCATCCAGCACCCCCAGGGGTTGGGGGCTGGGTCTTGTTTCTCTTTTCTGATCCGATGGAGGTGCCTCTGTTTCTCCCCCTTTGTCAAAATAAGGAGCTGCGCTAAGCCAGTGTCCTCTTCCTCTCCATGGGCTTCCCCTCCTGTTTCGAATGGAAATGGCTGAATAGTTTCAGAATGTTTGTTCCTGTGTTTGTTTATTCACTGCCTTGATTACAGGAGTGAGAGATGGGGCCAGGGTCCAGGGCAGGTGGGTGTGGGCTGTATGTCTCCAACCCCTCTAGGCCTCCCAGTCTCTCTGACCCATTGTCCAGATTTCTGTTGGACTGAGCTGGGCATCTCAGCATCAAAGAGGCTCCCGCAGCCCCTCCAAGTGGAGCCCTGCCCTCCTCGCCCAGCTCAGGGGCAGAACTGAAAGGGTTTACTCTACTCAGAGTCTTCACCTCTGAGTCTGTCTTCTACCGCCTGATGGGATCCATCCAGGAGCAGCTGACTCCCCTGCCCCTCATTAGGGTGGGAGCCCCTCCTCCATGACACCAGCCAGGCTCTGCTCAGCCCAGCCTTCAGTTCTCAGAGGGACCGCTGTCCTGCAAGGTGGGGTGTTCCCCAATATCCTTCCCCTGAATTCTCCTGGTCAAGGCTTTTCCCGTCATGACCCCATCAGGGTGCAACCCCTCCCCTCCCTCAGCCCCAGGCTCTCATGCCAACATACAAACCTTATCTGCTCAAACCAGCAGGCCAGCCTCCCCTCTCCCCCACTGTGTCCCCAGGTCCTGCCTGGGGCTGGAGCTGTCTCTCCATCCTGAGCACAACCCCTCACCCTAACCCCAGCCCCAGCCCAATCCCCGCCCTGGGAGCTTAGCAGGGCCCTCCCTACATGCTTTCCTGTTTCATCGCTGATCCTCTGAGTAGGAGACCGGTGCCCAAAGGATGGAGACACCTGTGTGGAGGGTCCAGACGGTGGGTTACCACGCAGCTGTGACGAAACCTGGGCACCAGCCAGGGAGACCTCTGTTCCACATATACGCACGAAGCTCAAGACCAAGCAAAACTCACCAAACAATGCCACAAATTGGGGCTGGGGGCAGGTCACTCCCGGGGTCAGGGGCTAAGAAGGGCAGGTTGGAGGCTGCCAGGGGCCCTGGGACATTCTCTGGATCTGGGGACTCAGGAACCTCACGTGTGAAGTGCTATGTGATTGGAGTGTTTAGCTGACATGGAAGGTGCAGCTCAGTAAAAGTTCTACTTAGAAAATACTGTTGATTCTCATTATTTGCACAGTCAGGGTCCATAACGCCCACAGCAAGCATCGGGCTAGTAAAAAGGGAACCACAGCTCCTGGGGTGAGTGCAGGATCAGGGTCCCAAGAGTCTCTGGTCACAATGTCACCAACCCATCAACACAGCATCTTGTGAGTTTCTGCTTAAAGACACCTTATTGAGCACATGTTGTCGGTTCAGCAGTGTCAGTGCTGCAGAATGGTGTCTGCCAGACCCCCCAAAGGCACTCCACAGCTTTCTTGTGCGCAGGGACACTTGGGGACCTACTGCAATGGCAAAATCTCCCACAAAAAGCACTAAATCAGCAAGAAAAGGACCCTGGTTTCCAACCTGAGCAGCATCCAGAGGGCAGAGCCGCCTGGGCTCCCCTCACCTGGGCACGGATGCCATGGCGTGTCCCGGAATGACCACACAAGTGCTGGGAGCCTTGATGGACAATTCAAAAATTTTTTCACGAATAAATACAAATAAGCTTCAGGGAGTAGCTGAATTCACAAACACTGAAGCTGGGAGTAGTAAGACTCTGCTATACTTTGAATCTGGACCACCCAGGGAAGCGTCACTGGCCCTGGGTGGCTATTTAAATCCACATTAATTGCAGCAAAATGGAATGAACCGTTCAGACCCCAGGTTTCGAGCACTCAGCAGCCACAGGCCAGGGCGGCCGCCTTCTGACAAACCGGGGGCAGCGCTATGGTCACGGCAGGCCCAGTGGGCAAGGCTAGGGGGCAGCTGCGTCTGTGCATTTCTCTGCTATACCCCTTTGCGGGACCAGAGCCGCCGCTTCCCAAATGCCCTGCGCAGCCTCTTGAGCCCTCATGCTTGCCGGGGGCTGCGGCTGGCGCTGGACACACAAAACCGAGATCCAGCCACACTGTGGGTCCTCTCACGGATGCTGTATCTGTGTGTCGGGAGAGGTGCTGGAGGATGGAGGATGGGGCAGGGCCCTGCAGGGACCTTAGGGGGATCAAGGAGGGCCTCCTGGCGGAGGTGTAGCGAATGTGATCCCAAAGCGGTGAGTAGAGGGAACAGCACTAAGGGCAGAGGGTCCTAGTGGTGCGGTGGGGCAGGCTGGGCTGCACACACGGTTTCGGGGTGGGCGAAGCACTCAGACATGAACTCGCAACTTGGCGATGTCCAGCAAAACTCTGGGGCCACCCTGTGTCCCCGCAGCGTGCCCCTGGCAGAGGCAGTGTCCCAGCCGGTTGCAGGGCACTGAAGACACCCCAGAGTCAGAACAGGTGACAGTGCTGCTGCTACAGCCCGCAAGGCAGGAGACCAAGCATAGGAGCCCCTGTCCAGGATGGGCGTCGTGAGGATGTGGCATTTGTAGGGTGAGTGGGAATACATCCCGGATTCAGGAGACTCTTCCCTCCTGAGGGAGGATGGGGCACTGAGTTGGGGCGGTCTGCTCAGTGCTGCTCGAGTGCTCTGGGTCCGAAACATTTGAACAGCAAAGGAATGTTGTTTTCCTTAAACAGTTTCAGTGAGATAGAATTCCTGCATGGGACAGTTCACCAACTTCTACTGTACAGTTCAGTGGGTTTTAGTCTATTCACAAGTTGTGCAGCCATCACCAAAATTAACTTGGGGACATTCTTATCTCCCCAAAAGGGGAGCCTGTTCCCATTGGCAATCACCCGACCCCCTGCCCCCCAGCCCCTGACGACCAGGAGCCCCCTCCCTGGGTCTGGGGACTGGCCTGTTCTGGACGTCTCACGTCCATGGACTCGCACACTGCGTGTCCTCCTGTGACTGCTTCTCTCCCTGAGCGCCGTGCTCTCGGGGTCCGTCCACGTGGGAGCGGGTGTCAGGGCTGCTCTCCTTTTCCTGGCTGCACAGTGTTCCACAGTGTGCATGCATGCACGCATGCATTTACATACATACATATGTATTTACCACATTTGACTGACCATTCATATGTTGATGGACACTTGTGTTTTTCTCTCCACTCTTCAGCTGTTGTGAACACGTGAGAACAGGTTTTTATTTGCATGTACTTTTTCACTTCTTTGCAATGAATCTGTGTTGGTTTCCAGTGGCCTCTGTAGCAAACTCCACAAACAAGGGGGTGGCTGCAGCCACATAGGTTTATTCTTCTGCAGTTCTGGAAGCGGAAGTCCACGCTCAAGGCAGGGCTGGTTCCCTTGAAGGCTCCTCCACTCAGGCTGTCAACAGCTGTCATCTCCCCATGTCCTCACATGGCTGTCCCTCTGTGTGTGTCCTGTGGTCTGTGTCCTGATCTCTCCTTGTTATGAGGACGTCAGTCATGTTGGATGAGGGCCTCATTTTAACTTGATCACCTCAGTAAAGAGCCTGTTTATTGCTGATAAGGGCTCACTCACAGGCACCGGAGGTCCGGACTGCAGAGTATCTTTTTGGGGGTGAGTGTGGAGGGAATGACACAATCAGCGAGGAACTGACCCCAGGAGTGGCGTTGCCTAGTGGCAGGTGGTTCCCGGTCCAGCCTTTGTAGGGACCACCAACCTGTTGTCCACAGCAACTGCTCCACCCACGTGTCCAGGGCTCCCGTCTCCCCACATTCTCACCCTGTCTTCCCCTGTGTCCTCTCTGCCCTGGGGCCATGACATTCAGGCCCCCGGGCTGTGTGGTTTCTCCATTCCTCCTCATGTGGGTGCCCGGGCAGTCATGAGGAGCCAGGGCTGGGTGTCCTGCGGGGCGCCTCCAGTCTGGTTTTGTCTAGAGTCTCCTTGCAATCGCACTGGGGCGATATGTTCAGGGATGGCCTCAGAGGAAACCCCTCACTCGTCACACCGGGGTCCCAGCTGCTGGCTCCTCCACGGCGGGGTCCCACCCCCCAATACTGTCGTCCTTGGAGAAGTTCTCAGCACCATGCTGGCAGAGGGGGCCAGGGGTCTCCTACCAGGTGGCTGGGGCAGAGACAGGTCCGTATCACTGGGTGTGCGGGGCCCAGGCCTCGGGAAGGTGGGCGATAAGCTCGTGAGCGGGGCCGCAGCAGGGAGCCGGGGTGCGAAAGGCAGGAAGGGGCTGGGGCCTTCCTGGAGGTCGCATCTCATCTGCGGGGACAGCAGCACTCGAAGGAGGGAAACGCCAGACCCTGCCACGGGTTGAATCATGGTCCCCCAGAGACACCTGTGTCCTGCCCACCAGCACCCATGGACACGACCTCATTTGGAAACAGGGTGTGTGCCGATGTCATTGGCTGTGATGAGTCACCCGGGAGTGGGGCAGCCCTACTACAGTGGCCGGCGTCCTTCTGAGAAGAGGAGAAGCGGTCCCACAGGGAGAGCCATGTGACTGGGGGAAGAGATGGGTGACGTGACCACCAGGGTGGCTGGCTGCCCCTGAGAGACGGCCCCAGAGCCTCCAGGAGGAGCTGGACCACTGACACCCCGACCTGAGCCTTCTGGCCCCGGCCTACAGGAGCAGAGACTGGTGTCACTTGTGGTTCCTCGTCACAGTCACCACGGCCACAGGTAGCTCACTGCCTCCGAGAACTGAGAGCCAGCGCGGAGCCGCAGGAGGGCAGCTGGTCCTGAAAAATTTATGAAAAGGACAATGTCTCAATGTGGAGGGAACGTGAGCTGGGCTGGACGCGATCCCGAGGCCATCTGGTCACCTGCTGCCCGCCTGTCCGCATGGTCATGGGACTGTGGGCACCAAGGGGACCGCAGACCCACCTCCACGCTCACTGAGGAACAGAGTCCCCAGACCCAGCTGGCGACCCTCTGGGAAGTCTCTGTCCCCCGCCTGTCCAGACCTTGGCTACTTATCCTGGGCAGGTGGAAGACCTGCCCTAAAACGGCCAAACCAAGTGGAAGCCCAGCGCTGACTCTAATGAAGCAGCCATTCTGACCTGAGGGGATTCTGCTCCAGGGTCACGGGGCCACATCTGGGGACATCTGCGCTTGTCGCGATGTGGGGGCTCCTGGCTTTGAATGGGTGGGCCCAGGGAGGCGGCTCTACACCCCAAGAGCTGGGGACGGCCCCACAAAGGGTGCTCTGAGCTGAGGGGCCCGGCCGAGACCCACTGGTGCTTTTCACGTTCTCTGGGGCCCCGGGACCTGCAGGGGGATGGCTCCCCACACGGCGACCCAGCACCGTGTCAGCTCAGTTAAACTGAAAGCTCGGGCCTCTGCAGCCATGATTCCTGGAGGTCAGGCCCCCGCTGGCAGGGGTGGAGATCTTGGGAAGAAGCCAATGCTAGAAGGATCCAAGAGCAGAAGCAGGCAGGCCGAGGGACCCCAGGACGCGGGGGTGGGGCGGGGGAGCAGCCCTCTGGTTTTGCAGTAGGTGACACATGAGATGGAGGTGGTGACATCACCGGCATCAATAGTTTATAGTGGGAAACAGACACCTGATGGCTTGTCTCGGGGCAGCTGGCTCAGGTGGCCTCAGGGCTCCTGATGGCCCACCCTGGGGACAGGACTGGCCCGTCCCCTTCTTGGTCTGAACACACCAGCAGGCATTCTGTGCTACGGTTTGCACAGAAGCCTCGCCTTCCTGCAGTGGAGACACCATGTCACCAATCTGTTCTCATTTCGATGGGCCAGGGGGTGGGGGCTGCGTGAGTGCTCAGCCTAGCCGCTCTGGATGAAGGCACCAGCTGGAGAGGGAAAGGGGCTGAGGCCACTGGCTCCAAATTCCTTTGCATTTCTGCAAAGAAGGTGGACAACCAACCCACAAGCACATGAAAAGCTACTCAACATCATGAGAGAAATGAAAGTCAGACCAGTGAGAGACGGCGCTGCCCACCCTTGAGGACAGCCACTGTCCACATGCCACTTACAGTGTGGACGGGGGGGGGAGGCAGGCATCGTCGTCCACGGCTGGTGGGAGGTGAAATGGTGCAGGCGCTGTGGAAGACAGTGGCTCTTCCTCCAAAGCATGAAAAAGAGTCACTGTATGTCCAGCAATTCTACCCTAGGAATTCTACTCTAGGAAAATGAAAGCTGTGTCCGCAGAAATACTGGTACACAAATATTCATGGCA